GAATCCTAATTCAGAATAACCTTTAAAAATAGGCTCCGAACTAGAGCGACGAAATAACAGTTAGTGAATATATTATCTTCACAAAAATATAAAAAGAAAGGAGCGCTTTCAACATCACGTCTTAGTGTAGTTTTGCCAATCAAATGCATAAAAAATTTCATTGCGTCATACTAGAAAGCGTTGAAAAGAAAACTAGCAAAACAATACATGCAGTCAAAAAACAGTATGAGCGTGATATATATGGGTTAGAAAGGTTCAATAAGCAAGCAGAGCGATACAAACCAAAAAAGTAGTAATAACAACAATTTTTTCTGAAAAACTTTGTGAAATTGTTTAAAGTAAATAAGTTTTAAATAATTGTCTGTTACGGGAGCAGTAGAGTCAAAAAGTTTCACAAGAGATTATATATACTACGAATACAAATAAAATTTTGGTTGAAACAAAGGCTCTGAGACTTGCAAATGCGCCAAAATGCTGCCTCAGTTAAGGATTATTTGCAGTCTACTGTCACTAATCTTACCGTAACTCTTGCTTCCTTAAAGACACCACCCTGTGCTTTTCAGCTTTTCGTTTGTGTAAAAATTATTTAAATAATGTTTTTTTTTAAAAATTTAGAATGTCGATTTTTGAAAAAAACGTATTGAATTTTTGTTTTTATTTTAGTCTAAAATAAAATTTGCTAATTCAAATGTGTTGCTACCTTCCAGAATCTGCGGGAGAGGGGCTTTTAAATAAAGTAAAAAATGAGAAAAATTCGTTGCGAACTACGAGACATATAAGTTGTTGAAGGTAGTAACCATGTCGAGGAGTCTAACTTTGCCGCCAACCACTTTTGAAGTAAACTATTTCGATTTTGAAACCAGGCGCTACAAGTTGGCAAAAAACGAAAAAAAAATCTGATAGGTTGAAGCTCAAACCTGTGCGATTTGACGCAGAATGGCCCATATATATATGTATCAGAGATCAAGCCTCAAACAATCTTTTTCAGCGGCTTCAACTGAGAGGAAGAGTGAGACCGGCAAAAAAATCTCTTCGAAGAAGACCAAGAAGAACCATATAGCAGGGGAACGAAAACTAGTTCGAAACAAAAAATATTGCAACTCGTAAAAAGATCATTCTCTGATAGTCACTTACTGCTGTAACTTTTTATGCGTTAACAACTATCCTAATAAAATTCAATCAAAAGGGAGTTACGAGAAGTAAAACAGTTAAGGATGAAATAATCCTCTAACCTTTCCAGCGTCCATGTAAATCTACTCCAGACCTCAGGCAAAGTAGAATCACTCAGTAAGATTTTCCAATCTATATTTGCAAATTACTAGTCAAGTTCTGTGGTACGCCTTCAAACCAGCTATAATAACCAGATGCTTTAAAGCACCTTTTGTGAAGCGTCTGGTGTCCAACCCTTAACCTAAAACCACCTCTATTCTCTATGGTAATCCACCTCTAAGACTATACCACCTTGCTTGTGTTGGTGTTAACATCTTATTTTCAGAAAAAATTTGTGGTATCTAAATTAATTTCTCAAAAAAGGATCCAAGTACAACATTAATCCAAAGGCATCTGATGTCACATAGGATATGCGGAGAAAGATGAGCCTAACAGTTGCAAAAAAAAAGTATTTGAACACTGTTTTTTCCCATATGATAAATAAAATATACTGCAACTTTATCGTTTTGTGATTGACCAAATCCAGGCAAAAGTGACAGAAACGCTGTTCTTGCCATTTAACGTTACAATTCCAAGGCATATCAGTGATTCTCATTCAAGCCGATTAAAATCCTTGAAGGTGAATGTATTGTTCGTAAAATCCTTTACTGATAAGTTGTTTCATAACTTAACACTTGGTCAATTGCTTCCAGTTTCGCAACACCATCTAACATTCAAATAAGGCTTTACTCATTCTAAGGCGAAAAATTTAGCCCTTCACCCACTAATAATCATATTCTACCTACCCAAGCAATTAGGTTTACTGCTACAAAACTACACCCGAGCAACTGCAAAACCTATACGTCTGGCCTCCAAAACTCATTAATAAACGATCTAAAGAGCAATTTGATTTCAACTATTTGGGGTAATGAAATTTAATTACAATTTCTTCATTGTAAAGTTATGGCACTAAATTATAAAACCCTCACCTTTAATGATTACGATTTTGGCTCCACCACTTAAATGTTTTAGATTACATAAAAGGCTTAAAAAGGCTAATAAAACTGTCTTGACGCCCAGCTTTATTTTGGTGGCAATAAAAGTATATTCGTGATAAAATTTCTAATTTTGAAACAACAAGATTCAGAACACAATTACCCCTTTGGACTGTAGGAAAAATCCAGGTTACCTATTGAAAATTACCTTTTTATTTTTGTAGTTTTGTAAAAACAAAAGCGAACAACCTCGTCCAAAGTAGGCCTACCAAATCTTCATCAACAACAGAGCCTTGTCCCGCTAAGTGCAACTTAAAAGTGATTTTCGCCACTTTCGCCGCTCCTTTCAGAAGACGAAAAAAGATGGCAGCCAAGACCATCCCAGGGCCTCTTTCGCATCTTCCGGAAGAACAGTCACCTAGAGGAAGACTTAGATACGAAGCTAAAAAGCAACGTTTCTACCTTCCTCTCTCGAACAGCACCATTTTTCGCTACCACCAACTCATTTTTTCCCGGTATCATCTTGCACAGCTGTTCCAGTTGGAACTTTTTTAGGATAGCACTTTCAGTAAAGACCTTCTTCCATAGAATCCTAAACTATTTACTAGAAATTTGTACCCTTCTTCTTTGTTTCCTTCACTGACTTCTTAATATTATTATTCAAAAGTTTTTAGACGTTAGAGCGAACAGAATTCTCGCTCAAAAACCTGGCCTTGACAGCAGATGACTAATAAACGTAAAATTTAATTTATTCAGTAACCAAATAAAATTACTACTCACAGAGGAATAACCAAATTCCCCATTTATATTCAATAAAAAAACCCGTCCTGCATCAAAGGCTTTGTTTCTTCGCATGATGCTAAGAACCAACATAAATCCAGCACCAACTGGTGGCACTGTTTTACATTCAAATTTTTTTGTGACAAAAAGTAGAAAACATATCTTTTGAGAGGCACCTAATTTAACGTTTTCAGAGAACTACAGAAAATATGTGATATAAAACATTAGCCGGCCGAAAAAAGGCAGAATTCATAATAGAAAGAGCCAATTAATACTCAGTTATATCCCACTGTATTAAAAAGAATTACAGTAAGTGCGACAAAAGATAGAAATTATGAAAACTGTGGAGAAATTACCCTCGTTTCCTTTCCAGTGAAAACAGCGCTTTATTTCCAGTTTTTTCTAAAGTGGTTTTTTTTCAAAAAACCCTATCTCGTTCCAAACGATGACCCCCCAAAAAAATACCTGCCAGGAGTGATAAACCTAGCCATTTTTTCCTAATAAAACAGTCAGAAGTTCAGTCACTAAGATGAGTCGACTTTCTTGAATCTCTCCCGACCAGAGTTGAAAAAGTCGAGATTACGTTGTATAAAGTCCAAAACTAGCCCATGAAATTTCGGACTTGCTCCAAATCGTTATAGCGTGTATAGTGCATGTACGCCTAAGAAATCTCATTTTTTATAATTGACTGTCCCCTGCTCTCATACTTCCTTACGATAGATGTCCTATAGGTTAAAACAATTTCAATTTTTTGTCATTCTAATAAAAAGCCATGGTCGCCCCTAAAAAATTTCTTCCCTAAAAGCGAATTTAACGTAAATAAGATCCGTAAAACTATAATTAAGTGTTCTTGAATAATTCCTTAAAAGAAACTATCCTCCCAATCTTTCGGTGTTACCTCAAATAATTATTTGACTGTTTTTTATTTTGTTGTATTCTAAGAGTAAAAGTTTTACTGTCACTACAGATTAACAAAGAAATAGATAAAAATAAATAAGTAGTTTTTTTGAGAATATGTCCGGATATTTCTAACGATTAAAACCGTCCACCTGCTAACGCTTACAAATACTTGATAAACCATGGTACACTCTTTCTACGAAGATTCTAGTTGCTAAATAATTCCTGAACAGTGACCTACTCCAAAGACATAATTTAACTGTACCACTCACAAGTTGAAACAAGTATCAAGCTAACTATAAGGGGAAGATCGTTATATCTCCCTGCTGAATCCACATACAAACTCCCTGTTGAAAAAAAGGCTAACAACGCCTAAAAAGAGGTTTAAACACTTTAAGCTGCTTTAAACTTCGCCCTCAGTCCCCTTACAAAAGAGAAATGAAGAAAAATAATTTACTATGGCAATTATAGAGCCCAAAGAAACGAGTGGAGGAATAGCCCAAGAATAGCCTAAGGAATCAGACCCCAATAATTAACAACGTGTGAAAGCAAACAGTAAAACCTTTTCTAAGAAATGGAGGTTACCAACCTACTAGCTCCTGACGAAAGTCTTCCGCTTGTTTCCTGAAATTAGTAGGTATCTCGTCAACTCGAACCTCTTCACCACCGGGCCCTTCATTGTAAACAGCACACTGCCTGATCAAGTCCACCACCCCCTTAATTCAAGCAGCATAAATAAAAATAACCAAAATTACGTCTATCCATGCCAAAAATCCTATCCCTTTCAAAACTGCTACACTAAAAAAAAATTAAAAAATTAAAAAGCACAAAAAATTCTGGGAAAACATTAACTTTATAAGTGAAAAGTTACGCACCGTAAAATTCGACTCTTTTCCCATCGGTAGTTGAAGTAAAGCAGCGTTGTGTTGCAGTTTCCTTCTAAGCCCTTTCAGCGCTCTAAATATTACAGTTTAAGTGGAACTCCGGCCATGAAGGATTAACGTTCATGACGAGCAGTTCAGACAGAATGTAGCAATTGTAACACATAAGTAATCGTTACAAGAAAAAGAAATCATGCTTAAGTTATAGGAGGAATTGTTGGTAAACTTCCAGAAGTTCTCCAATCAACCCATTAAATTTTTTTAACTTCAATCAGTCAAAAAATTCAATCTACAATTTTTAAAAAAAATCTGCCTTGAAAAGCTGTCCCCTGCCAAATTATTAGGAATGCGGAATGCGCAAAATTCTAAATTTTCACTCTAACAATTTTGCTTTAGAAGTCTTCTTACTAAAATAATACAGCTGTCATGAAACTAAACTTGTTTAATCCCGACAAAAACTTGGTTAAATAACAGGTTTCCAAACGGTATAAGGCACAGTGAGAACCTCAATTTTTCCATTTTTTTAATGAACTGCAACTTGGTAGAAAACCAGTATTTCAAAATGAATTTTTTTACTTCTGTAACTCGAAGACGATCAATGAATAATTGGTATCTTGAAAAATTTTTGAAAGGTCCATTGAACGGTTTGCGTCTTGGCGAGAAATGGTTATACAGAAAATCATTTAATTCAGATACTAAGCTTGCGCAAAACCACAATACTAAAGCTGTATTAAATTCTGTTGCTAAAATACCCTAAATGATCAACTTCTGTAAAGACTACCTCAGAGGATCGGCACCTGTCCGGTCAAGTTTATTAATAAAAGTTAGAAAAGGAACGCCGTATCTCTTCAATTGCCGATCAACAGTAAAAGTTTGACTCTGGATCCCTCCAACACCACATAGTACTAGAACTGCACCGTCCAAGACCCTCAACGCTCTTTCTACTTCGACAGTAAAGTCAACGTGACCTGAACGAAAAAATTATGCCCAAATTTGTATTAAAATATAGGAAATAAATCTTTGAAAAAGTTACACTAACACCCACAAAAGAAATGAAAGGAGTATCCAAATAAATCAATAACCAGGAGTGTCAATTATGTTAATGTTCGTGTCATGCCAATCTACATAAGTAGCCGCTGACTGAATTGTTATCCCCCTCTGTCGCTCTAAATCCATAAAATCCATTGTCGCACCAACTTCATCCTTTCCTTTAACCTAAAAGTTGGCTACAAAAGAAACTTAGATTAAGGATTAATCTTACTTTAAAAAAACCCAATAACGTCTCTAGAACAAACACTTGAACCTGTAACTTTATAACGAGCCGTTTTATCCAAAGACCTTATAATTTTTTGTTGATACATTTTTCTCTAATTTACTTCGTTTTATTTCACTTTCCAGCATGTCCTCATGTTTTAAACATATCCTTAAGATTCCAAGCTCTGAATGCCTCATTTCATCAAGAGACATGGTCCATTCAGTAGGAAATCCATTTTCAAACATTCTTCATTTCTTGCCTTTTTTGCCGTATTCTGCTAGTATTCAGATGTCTTTACAGAGGAATCTTCTTAGTTTGATATGCGTTTGCCACGTGCTCCGCTTCAGTTACTTACAAAAGAAAATGCCTCAGTGGCAGAATAAATATAACTAGCAAAAAAATCCCAATATGCTACTCTCGAGCAAGACGTACTTATTTAAAAAATCAAAATTAAGCAGAGCTTAATAATAAAGAATAATAGAGGAGCAAAAACGGAAAAAACATTCCTGTAGTTGCTAAATTTTTTACAGTCAATTACATAAATCAATCTTATTAAGTCTAATAATCAAAAAATGAGCTGAAAAATAAAAAAATTGTGTCAAATATTCAGAAACTAAAAAAATTTCTGCACAGCTCCTTAACAAAGTCAAATTACACAAAAAAAGACTCAGAAAGCAACATCAGATAAATTCACAAATAGACCTCCGTCCTCTCGCACCTAATAGTTATTTTCTAAAAAATTAAAAAATTAATATTCGTTACATACCATAACATTCCGCAGTAAAATTCCCGATTTTCAGACTCAATCAAATAATTAAATAGTTTGAAATCTTTTACAATTTATGAAATAAGACAAAAAAGAACAGAAGATACCTCATGCATAGCGTCAATTCTACCGGCGTAATACAGAATCCTTTCAGTTACAGTGGTCTTGCCAGAATCAATGTGAGCTGATATACCTAAAAAAAACTCAAGTAAGTAGCACACAAATCATAAAAAATCGGATCCGTTTGTTGGGAAAACTATTTTACAAAGAATACCTATATTCCTTATCTTTTCAACTGGTTTCTGAAGTCCTTTAGAAACTACAGCAGACTGTGCAGAAGCAAATCGTCGTACCGGTATGAGATGCTAAAAATAAAATATAAAATGAAACTAAAGATTTTGAAACGATACTATTATAAAGAGCATTTACACTTACTTTTGCACAAAGCCGCCGAAAATAAGATGACGATGCTACAACTACCATTTTACAGACGGACAGTCGAACAAGGAACTACAAACCTGCTACCCAACTGCAATGAAACCAAAAATTTTACTGTTTTGCTGACTAAATCGGAGCCTCTTTTTTAAAACGTCAAATATGATGAAATTATTTAACTCTAAACCTAAATTTTGAAACTGTTAACCACTCATCTTTTCGCCAAACAAATTTCAAAGATGAAGAGCAGAAAAACGAATGGGAATTTAATGTAGACCAATTCAAAATTTGCTTTCGCTAACTGCCTCCTTTTCAAACTGCTACAACCAAACAGTAATTAAAGAACCACTAACAACTTGGTCCATAACTGGAAGGGAAAAACAATAAACAGTAAATAAACATTAACTGGGCGGGTGTATCGCCTAAATTTGGTAAAATTTTGCTGTTGCCTCAGGGTTAGATAAGACTAAATAAAAATTTCTGCAAGTTCAAAAGAAATAACTGGAGGCTTTTTGGAATTCTGCCAACTGTGAAAAAATTCACCGTAATACTGTTTTGTTTTATAAACTGAACAGATTTCCAACAACGATATACAGACGCAAAAACACAAACGCAGAGACACAAATACGCTCAAACAGACATAAAAAACATTGACGGCCTTACCAAAAAAATATACATTGTGTTATATTATACACAATACACAATGTGTAGAGGATCACAGAGAAGCAGAGGAATTAAGTATACGTTGATAGAGGCTGCATTAAGGGGTATATACACTTCAAGTTGTTTGTAAACCAAACGAAAGTGGGCGGTGCCCGTGCAACGGATTGGCTGATTATGGCGGGAAATTTGGGCGAATTTAACGATGTTTGGAATGCGGTAAAGACAGTGAGAATAATGGAGAAAGAGGGGAGGTGCATCTGAAAAGAGAAGTGAGAATGCGGGCGATTTGGCATTCACTGTGATCCTTTAAATTTTTAAACTTAGTGTGCGTATTTTACATTTATATCATCTTGATTTTACTGTCATTACTGTCATAACTTTTTTTTTTTTTTAATTGTTCGAGTTGCTTGTTAGTTTTGTGGTTTTGCCACTGTATCGGTACTGTTGTTAAACTTGAAGAATGAATTAAAAAAGTAGAAGACTTACATTGTTTGAAATTTATGCGTTATAAAAGAAGGAAAAAATTTTTTCTTTCCTAATTCTTTTGTCTTCTTTATTGTTGTAATATTTATTTTCATGATCGCTTACCTTTGTGTACAAGTCGTTGTATTTGCACTATAGTTTGTCGTTGAAGAATGTACTGTTGGAGGGTGAGGGAAGGAGAATAATTTTGCGCTCTTTCTTTAGTTTCAGTTCTGTTCCTAAACTAGTGACATTTTTATACTGTTTCCTTTTAAAATAAAATAATATATTGTTTTTGGGTACAGTTGAACTCCATTCTTAATTTTTGATTTTTTTTTTCAGACTACTGGGAGTTGACACATGTGTTGCTCGTCAGAATTGTTTTGACCGATGATCTTGTTTTTTACCTTTCTCTTGTTTCGATCTTGAAACAAGCTAGGCGGCAGACTGTTTTCAGTTCGTTGGTCGGCGATTTGAAGTCTTTTGTCTTATACAGTCTTTTATTACTGTTCTATGAAATTTAAATGTTTTTTAAAAAGAAATTTTTCTTGCGTTTATTTTAACGCTTTGATCGATTTTTTAGTATTATGCTTTAGTTCTCGTCATTTATGCCACACGAGTTGTTGATTATTGAAAGACAGGAAGAAAACCAGAAGAAAGGAGAAGGCTCTGTGACAGGTTCAAAATGTTGGAGTGAACTTTCTGGTTTTGGGTAGGCAAGATAGGATACTGTTGGCATCTGTTGAAGTGGAAGTTGCGTAATGGTGAGGCGCCACACGGACGGTTGCGGGGAAACAAAGCAGATGCATGGTTGTTACCTGCTTTTTAAATGCCGTTGACTTATTTCAGCTTTAACTGTTGGTTGTATAGTCAGAGTATAAATCGTTTTCTGGTATCATCTTCTCTTCGTACCGTAAATTCGTTGTGAAGAAGTGGTGTCAATCTGCTGTGGCTGTTCAACGATAGGCCATCAGACTTAATCCAGATTTTGTCCATCCTTTAGCGGGGAAGATGTAGCAGTAGTGACTGAGTTATTCTTATTGAGCTACCGATATTGAGTGGTTTAGCTTGTGCTTCGTTTGGTGTTCTCTTGAAATCGAATGCAGGGAGCTCTTCGCATGTCGTTAAACGTGAAAAAAAAAGTCTGCGAAATGAAAATTCACATACACGGTTTGCTGAGTGGAGGCATTCGACACTTGTTAATTTTATAAGTAGTGTTACAGGAAAAATGATTTGGCCTGTTTTCTGTCTTTTGCTTCTATTTATTAAGCTGATGTTCATTTTCTTGCCGTAGAGTAGACCATTTGGTCATATGTTTGTCTGTTTGTGCACAAGTTACATGGCATGTGCTTCAGTTTTCTTGAGCTGACAAAAAGAGTTTGAGTTCGTGTTAGGAGAGTTACTGAAGCAGTGGAAATGAAGTCTTCAGAGGAGTAGCGCTTAAATAATTAAAACGCGCATTTTTTTCTTTACTTAAAATTTTCTGGTTATTATTAATTTCATGGTTCATATAAGATCTAATTCGGCTTTAAGATCAACGACTTTAGTAGTTGCTCATTGTAAGATTATGGGTTTCCGTTCAGTTACAGTTCGGAATTGTGAACAGTCGCCTTTGAAATACTGGACGATTTTGTGCCAAAATTTCGCAATCCTTTGAAATGGTGTACGCAAAAGAATTTCTGACTTTAGGCTTCTCATGGTTGTGAAGCGGCAAGTGTCATTTTTTGGTGCCTTCAGATTCATGTATAACGGTATAGATTCTCTAACAGATTTGGGCCTTTGATGAGCGCGATGTATGTACATTTCATTATCCGCTGTTCTTTAAGGAGTCGACTCTGGTTAGGTTGTGAGTGTACGATTTTTAACGCAAGTGGACTGGCGTGAATGTGTTCAAATAATTCTTTTAACCGTTTCTCATTTGGAATAGTCGAAAGTTTTTATTGATTCATTAGAACTTTAGCTCTGTCATAATTTTTTATAATTTTTAGAAAATTCCATCACCTTAGTGTCGTATTCATCTTATATTGTTGATGAGATAGGTTTCTTCGCTATAAGTGTCACAGCGCAGTATAAATACATTGTTCTGTGGGAGTTTCACTCTGCTTATAGTTTTTGTTGGAAAGATGTTGTTGACATATGGCTGTTTAGGTGTTTTTTTTGGAAAAATAGTTGATTAAATACATGTGGTAAATGGCTGCAACAGGATCATCAACAGCATCAGCGGTTCAACAGCTTTGCCCGGTACGACTTTCAGCAACTCCATCGAATGGAAGCAGAGCACTTCGATTTGATCCTATTGCGGTAAGCCATTAATCCTAAGTCGTTGGCCATGCTTGTATGGAAGTTTGGTTGTTTTTGTAACGCGTTTTTTAATTTGGTGAGGATTTGTTAATTGTTGCACAATTCAATTTCTGTTTTGTCTGCTTTTGCAGTTAGGTTGCAGAATTACTCAGGTGTCTTTCAGTGAACAAATGACGAAGAAGAGAAATTGATTTCTCACTTATATGCTTTTTAAACGCAGATATTTTGATGAGGACACTGTGCAATTTAAAAATAAAGTTTGATGATTGGTGGTCGTCGTAGAGATTTTTTTCGATGTCTTGTTTTGGGCTCTTTCCTAACTTTATTCTAATTCATTTCTTATAGACTAATGGAATGGAAGCAAACGAGTTAAATTTGACGTTGCCTTCTAAGTCTTTAGTTTTACAGAAGTAAAGCAGCTTAATTAGATTAAATGATCTATGATTTATATATTCAATACTACATATTTGAGCCAATTTTTTTCTAAGGGCACGCGTTAGTAGAGATTGCAAACTTGCAGTTATTTTGTCTATTTTCGCTGTTCTCTTACAGGGACTAAAAATTCCAATTGGAATTATGTTTATGGAAATGTCAGTTTTTAACAAAAGTAATTTCTGAGACTTCAGTCGTAGGTCAAATGTAATTTAGTTTGATTATGCCGTTTTACTTGAAGTTTGGTTGTTTGATAGATGAAATATTTCTCTTCTTGCAGAGTGTTGTGAACTTGAGGAAAAATAAGGTTTACTTTATGCAGGTCGCAGTCTTACAAGTCGTATTTTTCTGTTTGAGGACTGTTGATAGAGTGTGGATAAAGATTACAGTTTATTTGGGTTTAGGTTAGTAATTCTGGATACAAAAGTCCCACTTCTGGGGCACTGGCAGAAAGTGGAAACGGCATTAGTCCTGTACCAGAGGAACGCTGTGCAACAACTGATGTGCCAGTGACTGCTACTAATCACCATTTTATGGAGATCAAGAGGTTTATCTATTTCTCATTTGAAGCTGTAATAAAATTCCAGTAGTTGACTTTTGCCTTGTTTCAATATGGAGTGTTAGATTTAGCGGCGAACAAAACGATGTTGCCAGTACGGGTTCCCCAGTATGGAGTGGTAGTACAAAGGTGTCTGATGATGCCTGTGAGACAAACTGTACTGTGCTGACTAAAATGGGGACATCAAATTCAGACGGCCCGCAAGTGGTGCACGAGGTAGATAGTTGGGTTCCTAATGCTAGAGCGCAGCTGGAGGATCTTTTGCCTCTTCGCAGTCCCCGTGGTGATTCTTCTGCTGAAAAGGTTCTTTATACTTTATTCGGTCTGCTTACTTTTATCGGTTATTAATGTTTTCCTTCTTATCATTTTTAATATAATTTTTTTTTAGTATTTTTATTACTTTTGTTTGACATTGTAACATTTGCTCTGAATTCTTAAGGTTTTTAAGGTATCGCGTAAGCGGGTTTCGAATGCAGATAATACCGATTCCAATCCACTGCTATCTGCAATTAGTGCTACGTTAGGAAACGAATTTCTAGATTTTCCGAGTACAGGCCGGACGCCAGTCAAAATGTCTTCAGGTTCGTTCTTAAAAGTTCTTTTTGCATTGTAGGTTTTCTTTATGCAAGAATATTTGAATAGGGTTATTTCAAGGAGCGGTTTTTGCTTATAGGCTATGTTCACTTGCTTGTTTTTTGTTTACTTTTGTTTTTATGGTAAATGCGCCTTTAGTAACACTTTTAGGGCCTTCGGAGGGTTGGTCAAGTGCAAGAAGACGATTAATACCTGATCTCAAAAGTCCACAAAGTGGGTTCTATGCCAATAATTGTATAAATCTTGAGTATATTGCATCTTTTTTTTTTTTTTTT